CCGCACCCCTGACCTCTTCTTGTTATTACGATAGAATTATACGAACACTCTCGGCTAGATATCACCGCCGGAATCAGCATCGGCGTGAACGTCGGTGTCGATGTCATGCACCGCACATGTATACGCACATATATGTATCTATATATATATATATATATAGATAAGCGAAACAAGTGTATACTTAAGGCTCGGTTTTCGTGTTTCACACATATTAATGAGATCTAACAGAAAATAATGCCAAGACAAGTATAGGGGAAGTTATTAGGTCAGTTGTAATGTATATGAGAAGAAAGAAGAGTGGGTGAAAAGATACCTTGCCGTGGGCAGGATCCTAACCTTCGACCTTCGAATAACGCGTTCGATGCTTTACCACTGAGGTGGCAGACATCAGCGAAACTGGAAATCCGAGGCCACGTCGTGACTCATTCGCGGCCGACCAGCGATATGGCCAATGCCTTCGGCATGGCCCCGCCACACAGAGGTGGTGGGCAGCCCCCGCTCAGCAAGCTCGTCACCGACCCTTCACAGCTGAGCGGTCTCAGCATTGGTTCAGCGAGCGTCCTCTACCAGTCTGCTACAACTGTGGCTTCGAAGGACACATTGCCAGGTATTGCAACTACCGGCAGCCGCCAAGGTACGACTGATCACCGAGATTTAACCGTTCTGGCGTTACCCGAGCACCGACATTCCCGGGAAGCGCGTCTTACGAGATCCCAGGACCGCTACGAAACCAATCTCCTGCCTTTGACCGCAGTGTGACACCACCACCTGCCCCTCGCACCAACCGATCACCGTCTCCTCGGCGCCGCCACTCCTCGCCTCCTACGGAAAACTAGCCGGCGCGGCCGTTGGAGGTGAGGTCACCGGACAGTCTTCGATTTCAACAGAAATACCTCCGTTAGCTTCCATGTTTAGAAATAAGGTTCGAGTACTTATCGATGGTGTACCGACGATGGCGTTGGTGGACACAGATGCAAGCGTGTCAGTGATGAGTTTAGTTTTCACCCGCCTTCTTGGACGAAAGGTTATGTTTCGTTGGGACCGTCCTGATACGTTTCGTGGAGTGAGCGGAGAGGTGTTACATACAACCTGTTGGTGTCTGCACTGTGACTGTTAGTTTGGCATGCCAGAACTTTGTCGCAGAGTTTGCTGTCCTCCCTCATGCTACGCAAGACGTCATTCTGGGACTCGATTTCTTGAAGCTATGTGGTGCTACACAGTAAACATTTTTGCACCCAAAAGGGTGTAAAAAGGGTGCTTTTACGAGAAAGAACCCTTTGCAACACCCATTAACACCCACAAATGGTTCATTGAAAAAAAAGCACCCCTTTGTTTGGGTGCTTGCCTCAATAGCACCCTAAAATAGGCTCTAAGGGTGCTTTTGTGCCTGAGAAGGGTGTAGGTGCCGATTCATCAGATGCAATATGCAGCATAAGAAGAACACATATTTATAATATTTGGGATTTTACGTCTAAAAAACCTCGATATGATTATGAGGGTCATCGTAGTGGAAAGCTGCACAGATTTTCACCATTTGGTGTTCTTTAATGAGCGCTCATATCGCACAGCGCAAAGGCTTCTACCTTTTCGCCTCCACCTTAATTCGACTGCCACGGCCGGCATCGAACCCGCGACCTTCGGATTGGCGACCGAGCAGCGCAGCTACTGCAGGAATATGTGGACCTTGCGTTAAATGACGGCCTAATTGACTTAGAATGTGTGAAGGTGCTCTCCGAATACAGCAGAATGTCAGCAGAAGCAAATCGCGTTTCATCTATAATGGCAATTAACTGCAATCCATGTTACGAAAGCTTTCCTTAGCGTTGGTTATAAGCTGCATGTTTGCTATGGATTATATACACACAAATAATGTTCGCCCGAGCGAACGCGTGAGCGTCCCCAACCATTGGGACGAGGCAGGTAAACTTGGCAACCTGTTTTTCTATCTCGCGGGTGTGGCCGGCATGTGGTACAACAACCACGCATCTGATTTCCCGACATGGTCCGCTTTTAAAACCGCTGTCGTCGACGTGTTCGGCTGCCCGGCCGTTCGTGAGCTGCAAGCTGAACAGCGTTTACGTGAACGAGCCCAGCAGACCGGCGAGTCCTTCACAAGTTATATCGAGAACATCCTTGACTTGTGCAAGAAACTCGACCTGAACATGTCAGAGGCTGACCAAATCACGCATGTTCTAAAAGGCATCATCGACGATGCCTTCACCATGCTCCTGGCAAAGAACCCCCACACTGTGGCAGAAGTCATCATGTTATGCCAAAGTTATGACGAGCTGCGGTGGCAGCGCTTGATGACCAGTCGCCTGCCACCACGTGATGCTGATCTCTCGGCCTTGTCAGCAGTTCCTGACCACGCAACCTTGCTCGCCGAAATCAAGTCGTTCGTGCGTGAGGAAGTTGCCCGCCAGGTCTCTCTACTGGCTTTTGCTTCCCCACAACATGCTCAACAGCCATCAAGTACACTTCTACCTCCGCTCCGCCGAGCCATTCAGCAGGAAATCGCGGAGGTCGTCCCTGAATACTACCAGCCGCCTCCTGCATCTGTGCCACTCAGCTACGCCCAAGTTGTTGCCTGGCCGCGCCCCCCCCCCGATTTCTGTCACTGTTCCCCTAAATTACACCGAAACCATCGCGAGGCCCCAGGCCTTTGGAGAAACTGTCTCGCCTACATACGCCGGCTTCACCCACGTGCCCCGAGTGTCGCCTACCATGCACTCATACCAGCAGCCGGCTCGCCAATCGCGTTCTGCGACATGGATGCGACCCGCAAACCAATGGCGCACTGCTGACAATCGCCCCATCTGCTTTGCTTGTGGTTGCGTCGGTCATGTAGCACGCTATTGAAAGCGTGTGCAGCAACCGCAATTCGCCTCCAACTATCCCAGCCAGTCAAGCCGCTCTTATGACCAACCGCCACCTATGTCACCGTCGTCCCGCCCCGTTCCGTCTACCCGCCGTTCACCATCTCCACGCCATCGCTCACTGTCGCCAATGCGGCCACGTCCACTCGAGGGCGACCAGGAAAACTAGTCGTCGCAGTCCACGAGGCAAGGGCTGCGACGCTGTCGAACTGCGGAAGCCCTCAGGAAAGCCCGTCGAACGTGATAGACGTGCTTGTGGATGGCGTTCGTGCATCTGCCCTTGTAGATACTGGAGCCGCCGTATCCGTGATGGACGAAAAACTTAGCCGATTACTGCGCAAAATGACCACGCCGCTTTGCGGGCTCTCCCTCCGTACAGCCAGCGCCCAAAGGATTCACCCTACAGCGATCTGCACAGCCCGCCTTATGATTCAGGACGTGATGTATGCTGTCGAATTCACCATAATTTCTTCATGCTCTCACGACGTCATCCTAGGATGGGATTTTCTCTCCCGCCACGACGCCGTCATTCATTGCGCACCAGCAGAAATAGAACTCGCGCCATTCTCTTCTTTGATGCCGGCCGACAGTCCATCCGCTGCAAGCAAGTTACTCGTCAGAGACGACACTCAAGTGCCTGCAAACTCGTCCGTTGCGGTGTCGCTCTACTGCGCAAGCCTTTCTGACACCGCTGCACTCCTCTCGCCATCTCATCGTGTTTTCATAAGAAAAAGCTTGCTGGTTTGTTTTGCGACCGTGCAACTCACTCACGGCAGCACCACTATTTTTGTTGTGAACTCATCTCCGTACAGCGTTACGTTGGTGCGAGGAGAATGTCTCGGCAGCGTCGAGCCCATCGAAGACGCGCAAGTTATGGATCAACCCCATGGCATGCACTGCTCAAGTTCCTGTACGCTTGGTGCTGTTTCGACATCTGCTTCATCATCCGATGATATATTCGGTCCCTGCATACCCGACGACCTTACGCAGGGCCAGCGTTCCCAGCTTTTGGGCCTGTTGGAAGAATTCCGCTCTTCTTTCGATGTCGCTCAACCTTCTCTCGGCCGCACATCCACCATTACGCATCGCATCGACACAGGCGCACAGCCACCGCTGCGGCAACGTCCATATCGCGTATCTCCCACAGAACGCCGTGTAATCAACGAGCAAGTCGACGACATGCTTCGCCGCGATGTTATTCGCCCCTCTAGCAGCCCCTGGGCATCTCCTGTCGTTCTCGTCACGAAGAAGGACGGTTTTGTGCGGTTCTGTGTGGACTACCGACGCCTCAACAAGATCACTCGTAAGGACGTGTATCCACTACCGCGGGTAGATGACGCGATTGACAGCCTGCAAGGAGCAGAATTCTCTTTCATCCCTCGATTTGCGCTCAGGGTACTGGCAAGTACCTATGACTGAGGACGCTTGACCGAAGACCGCTTTTGTCACCACCGACGGCTTGTACGAGTTCAACGTTATGCCGTTTGGGCTGTGCAATGCGCCCGCCACCTTTGAGCGCATGATGGATACAGTTCTGCGTGACCTGAAAAGGCACACATGCTGTGCTACCTCGACGACGTCCCTGTTCTACCTCGATGAGAAGAAATTGACATAGATACCCAATATAATGGCTGGGGGGATGGCTGTCGTGGTAGATCAGTGGTAGAGCATCGAATGCGTTATTTGAAGGTCACAGGTGCGGATCCTGCCGACGGCAAGGTATTGTTTCAACCACTTTTCTTTCTTTTCATTTATATTACAATTGACCTAATAACTCCCCCTATACCTTTCTGGACATTATTGTCTGTTGGATCTGATTATTATTGTGTAAAACACGAAAAACGAGCCCTTAAGTATACGCTTGTTTCCCTTATTCATCAACGAGGGTCTCGTACTGGCAGATGTGGTGCCTCTAGGTTGTATACGGTGGACTATTGGTCAGCTACCAATTAGTAATAAGTTCACGTGCTACGTGACGCCAAACAGCCTCATGAAGAGTGTAGCACAGTCGTGGGGACGTATTGCGATGTGGCCATTTTTTACGAGGCGATCAATCATGTTCGTTTGCCTGCCCATCACTGAGGTGTCTATTTACGCAGCAACATGCCGGAGTCATGACGCGTGGGCGAGGTGGCCGAGTGGTTAAGGTGATAGACTGCTAATCTATTTGACTCCGCCCACGTGGGTTCGAGTCCCACCCTTCTCGATCATTTTGCCTAATTTTCATAGTGGGAACCTATTGCGAGGTGGCCATTATTTTACGAGGCAATCAATGATGTTCCTTCATCTGCCCATAACTTAGGTGTCTCTTTACGCAGCAACATGCGGGAGTCATGACGCGTCACCAATGTGGCCGAGTGGTTAAGGCGATGGACTGCTAATCCATTGGGCTGTGCCCACGTGAGTTCGAGTGACAGCCTCGTCGATCATTTTGCCTCATTTTTGATAGTCAAAACGTATTGCGAGGTGGCCATTATTTTACGAGGTAATCAATGATCTTCCTTCATCTGCCCATCACTAAGCTGTCTATTTACGCAGCACCTTGGAGGTGTGATGACGCGTCGGTGAGGTGGCCGAGTTGTTAAGGCGACGGACTGCTAATCTATTGGGCTGTGCCCACGTGGGTTCGAGTCCCACCCTCTTCAATCATTTTGCCTCATTTTTGAATATCGGAAAGTATTGCGAGGTGGCCAATATTTTACGAGGAAATCAATGATGTTCCTTCATCTGCCCACCACTTAGCTGTCTATTTGCGCAGCAACATGTGGGAGCTATGACATGTCGGCGAGGTGGCCGAGCGGTTAAGGCAATAGACTGCTAATCCATTTGACTGTGGCTGCGTGGGTTCGAGTGCCACCCTTCTAGATCATTTTGCCTAATTTTTATAGTGGGAACCTATTGCGAGGTGGCCATTATTTTACAAGGCAACCAATGATGTTCCTTCATCTGCCCATCACTTAGATATCTATTCACGCATTAACAGGTGGGAGCCATGACGTATCGGCGACGTGGCCGAGTGGTTAAGGCGATGGACTGCTAATCCATTGGGCTGTGCCCACGTGGGTTCGATTGCCACCCTCGTCGATCATTTTGCCTGATTTTTGATAGTTAAAATGTATTGCGAGGTGGTCATTATTTTACGAAGAAATCAATGATGTTCCTTCGTCTGCCCATCACTTAGCTGTCTATTTACGCAGCAATATGCGGGAGTCATTACGCGTCGGTGAGGTGGCTGAGTGGTTAAGGCGATAGACTGCTTATTCATTGGACTGTGACCACGTGGGTTTGAGTCCCAACCTCGTTGATAATTTCGCCTAACTTTTTATAGTCGGAACGTAATGCGAAATGGCCATTACCTTACGTGAAAAGCAATGATGTTCCATCATCTGCTGATCACTTAGGTGTCTATTTACAGAGCAACAGGCGGGGGCCATGACGCATCGGCGAGGTGGCCGAGTGGTTAAGGCGATGGACTGCTACTTTGTTGGGCTGTGCCCACGTGGGTTTGAGTCCCACCCTGGTCGATAATTTTGCCTCATTTTTGATAGACGGAACGTATTGCGAGGTGGCCATTATCTTTCGAGGCAATCAATGATGTTCCTTCATCTGTCCATCACTAGGTGTCTATTTACGCAGCAACATGCGGGCGCTAAGACATGTCGGCGAGGTGGCCGAGTGGTTAAGGCGATAGACTGCTTATCCATTGGGCTGTGCCCGCATGGGTTCGAGTCCCACCCTCGTCGACCACTTCGCCTAACTTTTTATAGTCGGAACGTATTGCGAGGTGGCCATTACTTCACGAGGAAATCAGTGATGTTCCATTATCTGCCCATCACATAGGTGTCTGTTTACGCAGTAACATGCGGGGGCCATGACGCGTTGGCGAGGTGGCCGAGTGGTTAAGGCGATGGACTGCTAATCCATTGGGCTGTGCCCGC